TCGTTTTCTGATGACAACATTTCGTGCGCAAAACATGATGTGGCTGGCAGCAAGGCGAGCGAACGTGGAATGAGAGTGACGCGCTTGGCATAGATAGCCCACAGCGGCTCTTCGGTGAATCGAGGGCTCTTGAGAGCAGCCTTCATATTGATAGCTAGCTGCTTGCGGGCAGCCTTCCGTTGTGTACTGAAGAAAAATGTAGAACGCCACGCGCCGAAAGCACTGCTGCTGCCTATGACGACCGGACATCACCACACACGGTGATTGAATAAGCACCGTTCGGCGAGACCGAATGGATTTCGATTTTGAAATCTGTGTTAGGGACAGGGTTCTGCATTTTCGAAACAAAGACAAGAAAATTAACTCTACACAGAATCGTTTCATTTCGAGCAATATAATTTTCGTGTAAGCCATTGTGTTTCTTGTTATCGAGTCACTATGAACATTCTTCCTGTCAAACATGACTTGACTATGGCTTGTTTCGTTCGTCAAGTGCTACAGTTCATTTCATTTGAAGCGAAGACTTGTTTCAATTGACGCAATGAATGACTCGAAAACTGCTGCCTTCGTTTTTTCCACGTTCACTTCAATTCGGGGCTCATTCGATTTGTCACGCGTCGCGTCTTCAGGCATCAAAATATAGTATCCGCACAATATCGGGTGCCGGTAGGGATGACATCCGGATTATATGTAGTCCGGATGTTCTGGAGTCCAATCTCCTGGAGTCCTCCATCGGACTCAGGAAAAGTCTCAAATACACTATAATATCGGTATTTTCGGAACGGGGACGACGCGAAGGTGCAGAAAATCGATGTCCGACGACATTTTGGAATCCAATATGGCGGCCATCGTGATCAAAATAGTGTCAAATATCCTAAGATACGGGTATGTTGGAATCCAGATGGTGGTCATCGGGTTTCAGAAAAAGTATCAAATACCCTAAGATATGGGTATTTTCAGAACGGGGACGACATTTAGATGCCGAAAATCGATATTCAACGCCATTTTGTAATCCAAGATGGCGACCATTGAGTTTCAGAAAAGTAGGGGAAAAGTTGGCTTCGATAATACCTTAACCTATTATCGTCAGGGGGTAAACAACGTCCTTGAGAGCTCAATTTTGGCATGTGGATACATTATGTTTTAGAGCAACTATTGGCCAAATTTGAGTGCTCTAGGACTTTGTTTACCCCCTGACGATAATAGGTTAAGGTATTGCCGAAGCCAACCTTTCCCCTATCTAATACCGTAAGATCTGGGTATTTTTGGAACCAGGACGACGCGTAGATGCCGAAAATCGATACGCGACACTATTTTGGAATCCAAGATGGTAGCCATCGGGTTACATAAAAGAGTCAAATACCTTAAGATATGGGTATTTTCAGAACGGGGACGCACGTAGACGCCGAAAATCCATATTCGACGCCATTTTGGAACGCAAGATGGCGACGATCGGGTTACAGAAAAAATGTCAAAAACACTAAGATCTGGGTATTTTCGGAACGGAGACGACGCGTGGAAGCTGAAAATCAATATTCAACGCCATTTGTAGAGTATTTGACACTTCTTCTGAAATCAAGAGCCACCATCTTGAATTTCAAAATGGTGTTGGACATCGATTTCCGGTTTCTAGATGTCACCCCGATTCCAAAAATATCCTCATTGATCGGTATTTGACAGTATTTCACACTTTTTTCTGAACCAATCCCTCCATATTAGATTCCACTTTTTCTTAAACTGGACGTCAAATATCAATTTTCAGCCTCTAGACGTCAATACCCATATTGATGGGTCGGCATCAAAATTTTCCACTTTTTCTGAAAGCGAAAGCCGCCAGCTTGGATTTCAAAATGCCGTAGAAATAAGATATTTGAGTGGGTTGGTTTATTTCCTTCAAATTCCGTTATAATTGCTTATCTTTTGACAGATACGCGTATGTCGTCTACTACTTGCAGACTTCATCAGTGCCAAGTACTCAACACCACTGCTGTTGTGGTGTTGAGTACTTGGCACTGATGAAGTCTGCAAGTAATAGACGAAATACGCGTATCTGTCAAAAGATAAGCAATTATAGCGGAATTTAAAGGAAATAAACCAACCCACTCAAAGCTCTTCATAAAGGTTAAGAGGTTCGACAAATTTAAAGGATTGTAGAATAAAGGATTTCAGCCTCCAGACGTCACCCCGGTTAAAAAATACCCATATTGATGGGTATTTGACAGTATTTCCCACGTTTTTTTCTCTGAAATAGGAAGCCACCATCTTGGATTTCAAAAAGCCGACGGATATCAATTTTTATTCTCTAGACGTCATCTCGATTCCAAAAATATCCATATTGATGGGTATTTAACAGTACTTTCCGCATTTTCTCGAACCGGAAGCCCCCATCTTGGATTTCAAAATAGTGTCGCACATCTTTTCCAATCCCTTGATGACATGCCGATTCCAAAAATACCTTTTGGATTTGACGATACTTCCTAATTTTTTTCTGAAATCGGAATTCAAAATGGTGTCGGAATTAAATGTTCATTCACTAGACAGTTCCAAAAATACCAATATTGAGGGGTATTTGACAGTATTTCCCACTTTTCCTAAAACTGGAAGCTGCCATCTTGAATTTCAAAATGGCGTCGCATATCAACTTTCGATCTCACAAATTCTCACGATTCCACAAATTCCCATATTGATGGGTAAACAAACCACCCGACAATGATAAATTCGACATCCACGTGCGCAGATCTTTAGCGCATGAACCGAGTGAACAATCAACAGAAGTCAGGAAAACAGCGCAAATTTGGATCGAATAGCTTCGCTTCAATGCGAATGTATGCTCATTTGACAATGGAAGACGAAATGAACAAGAGTCAAGCCAAAACAAACAGCATGAAAACTGATCGTAAGTGGTTCTGTTGATGTTGAAGGGGATATCCTCGAAGAGAAGACAGAATGACTTTCAATTGAAAGTGATGATTGACAGCATCGTCGTCACTTGACGATTTTCAATTGAAAGTGACTTTGTTGTAACAGTTGGACATTTGTGTAATTTTCAATAGCGACCTATTGAAAATTGATAAAGGGTTCAATTTAGCAGATTCGTAGAAAAATATCCAATCGATTGGCTTGTTTAGATTTAAAATCCATGACAGAGTTATATGTGGTCAAAACCTGACCACTCTTCGTAACGCGGTCGACTTTGGTTTTGTGAAATAGCACCATCAGTTGCTGCTAGGTAGTACTAGAGCTGGTCTAAACTAGCAGATAACGTCAGAGTAGAGGGAAAGGAGGAGCAGCTTTAACGTGCAGTGTCCGGACCGCCATGTCCCAAGTAGCATTGCAAGTTTTATCGTGGTTTTATAGCATTCTACAAGTCTAAATAATGGTCTTCAGAACCCTAATAAAACCCAAATTGTTACATGGGGGTCTTTTATGCTAAGCGTACCAGCTCCAATTGTTTGCCTTTACGGTTTCGAAGGCTGTGTTATACGCAGTTAATAATAATTCAACCATACAATAGGGATCTACAGGATTTGGATATTTAAGCTTTAGAAAAAAGACTCAATAGTTGGCACGTTGTAGCCAAGTAATGAAAAAAGGTATAAGCAGTAGTAGAGGATGTAGAATTTTTTGCGGAATCACCTGCTCAAATGGGAAGAAATGTGTTGGAAGTGGTGTGAAATATGTTCACTCACAATCTGTCTGCCTAATTTGTGCATTATCGCATAATTGTCAATTAGCATTTGGTCACGTTTAAAAAAAAATATACTTCCACTTCTTGTTGAATATTTACAACCCGGAAATATTCCAGATTTGAACCGGGGAAACCGGGAAAAAGCCGGGAATTTAAAAATGAAATCTCACTGGCCACCCTGGTTATCGCATAATTGTCCTATACGACTGTGATTTTATTCGATCCATCGTTTCCTTTCAATTTTTGTGTAGTATTTGCAGTTTTCTGAGCATATGAAAATCACATAAAAACTACGTGATAACTTTTTACTGTGCGTCAGAGTAAAGTGCTCCACAATTCAGCAGTCATAAATCTCCTCACTTTATCTCTCAGTTGTGAGTCATCAGAAAATGCCGTCAAACATGATTTGCATATTAACATAGTTCAACCTTCGCTCCTAAAAGGATTCCACTTAGCCTTCCTGAATCCCACAAAAAATCCTCCCCGATGACGACATCGCAGTCCGTTTTACGTTACTTACTCCATAATGCCTATCAAGAGAGAGAGCCCACTGAAAAACCCCGAAATCGTCACGTCGCCGTTCGTTGAAACACATTCCCGTTCGTCCGCGCGCCACCTAATAACACATCTCCACAACAATTCCACAGTTCGTGCTGTTTTTTTTTCGAGTCTTCGCTTCGGCTACCCACAAAATATCATGTATGATGTGACTCGTTTTTCGGTCCCATTTAGTGCCACCCATCTGCATCCAGCAGCAAGCAAACAGAGCAGACAGACGACGTCGGTTGGTTGGTTCGCTGGTACGTGGCACATCAACGCGCTATTTACACAAACAATTTGCCCGATGGTGTGCCTTCTCTCGTCGCATTCACACTTGGCCGTCATCCTCCTCCTCCTCCATCTATCATCCATGCGCTTACGAATGGTTGAGTCAGGCTAATGAAATAAAGTCACCATCACCTCGCTCGACCGCGCCACCGTATTAATTATAATTATGACGATGACGTTGTTGTCATCTTTTATGGGATACCATCAGCTACGAAAACATAAAAAAAAATCATGAATGTATTATGAAGTAGATGCGGGTCTCTCTGGTTGACCGAGTAGGATTATGGAACTTTTAAAAATGTATATGGAATTAACTCTTAAAATGTTTGGAATTTCGTATCACTGCTGCACCCTCGGAACTGCACTATCAGACAGGATCGATGCCTTTTTCACGATGGGTAAAATCGCCGAAACAGCACTCACTTGATCGTCCCGCCTGATTCCCCCATTTCTAACAAGTTTTCCACATTTATTCTATATTCAGGTCATGAGCCAGGACGTCCAGAAGGGAGACCCGCTGCAGTTCAAGTTCCGTGCCAAATTCTACCCGGAGGACGTCGCCGAGGAGCTGATCCAAGACATCACGCTGAGGCTGTTCTACCTGCAGGTCAAGAATGCGATCCTTTCCGACGAAATATACTGCCCACCGGAAACGTCCGTTCTGCTAGCCTCGTATGCCGTCCAAGCCCGTCACGGGGACTTCAACAAAACGACACATGTGCCCGGATTCCTGGTGAACGATCGGCTACTGCCGCAGCGGTAAGTTTCCCCGTCGATCTAGATTCACTCGTACAAAGTTTGATCATTTTTCCCGTACCACACGCAGTGTCATCGATCAACATAAGATGTCCAAGGACGAGTGGGAGAACTCGATCACTACCTGGTGGCAGGAGCATCGCGGAATGCTCCGCGAAGACGCCATGATGGAGTACCTCAAGATCGCACAAGATCTGGAAATGTACGGTGTGAACTACTTCGAGATTCGCAACAAGAAGGGCACGGAACTGTGGCTCGGCGTTGACGCCCTGGGGCTGAACATCTACGAGAAAGACGACCGCCTTACGCCCAAAATCGGTTTCCCGTGGTCGGAAATCCGAAACATTTCGTTCAACGATCGCAAATTTATCATCAAGGTAAGCTTCTAGCATCCACATTCGAATTAGCTATCGAACCGCTAACCGTTTGCATTCCATCAGCCCATCGACAAGAAGGCACCGGACTTTGTCTTCTTCGCTCCTCGCGTCCGCATCAACAAGCGAATCCTGGCGCTGTGCATGGGCAACCACGAGCTGTACATGCGCCGTCGCAAGCCGGATACGATCGATGTGCAGCAGATGAAGGCTCAGGCCCGGGAAGAGAAGAACGCCAAGCAGCAGGAGCGCGAGAAGCTGCAGCTAGCCCTGGCCGCTCGGGAACGGGCCGAGAAGAAGCAGCAGGAGTACGAAGACCGCCTGCGAACGATGCAGGAGGAGATGGAACGCTCGCAAGCGAACCTTATCGAAGCGCAGGAGATGATCCGCCGTCTGGAGGAACAGCTCAAGCAGCTGCAGTTCGCCAAGGACGAACTGGAGGCACGCCAGAACGAACTGCAGGTCATGATCAAGCGTCTGGAGGAGTCCAAGAACATGGAGGTCGCCGAGCGCCAGAAGCTGGAGGACGAAATTCGCGCAAAGCAGGATGAGGTGCAAAAGATCCAGGAGGAAGTCTCGGTCAAGGACTCCGAAACCAAACGCCTGCAGGAGGAGGTTGAGGAAGCCAGACGGAAACAGGTAAAGCGTAAAGTATGTATGCATTTTTACGTTCGTTTTCTTCGTTCCTGACGTATAGCCGAGAGCACCCACGAAGAACGCACTTCACCATCTCACCACGATGTTGTACAGTCGAAGAGCACCCTACTACCTACCTACTCTTTCCGCGCACACTCAAACACATGATCTACTACTACGTCTATCCAATCAGGCCACACCGGCGAGGACTCCCTCTCTCACAGAGCGCAACGCAACGGATCCGACCAAAGCGGCTGCAAAATGTTTTCTTCCGTTTCCTCTCTTTTGTACAGGATTATCAAAACACATTCCTTACTTACTAAAACAAAAATCACATCCAAATTCAACCTCATCGATTTTTATAATCCATTACATCTCCTACAAACTTCCCCGTAACTAATCTTTCGATTTACCCTGCGCTGGCGGCGGCTGCGCTTCATGAACAGAACGAAGCGGCGGCGGCTCTGTTGGCGGCCACTACCACGCCCGACCATCACCACGTCGACGAAGAGGAGGAGGAAAACGAGGAGGAGCTGTCGAACGGTGCTGAGAACGGTACCTCGCGGGACTACAGCAAGGACTTCGACACCGACGAGCACATCAAGGATCCGGTCGAGGAACGACGCACGCTGGCCGAACGTAACGAGCGTTTGCACGATCAGCTGAAGGTGAGTTGTGAGGGCGGGAATAAACGAGTGGGGGTGGGATAGTGTTGGTCAGCATGACAAAATTACTGGGGTTTTATGCAGAGGGAGTACGCACTAGCGCTGGCACTGTCCCCCTTTGTCTGTACCTCTAAAATAAAGATAAGTTCTTGCGAAAATCCTTCAATATGGGTATTAAATAAATTCGAAACATGTCTCAACTAAGAGGCAGGCATATCGTGAAGACTTAAGCAAAAATTTCAGGGAAAAAACTCGTTTTGATGAATAATCAAGATTGCAAAAAATGTCATATTGACCCCAATATACAGACAAAGGGTGTGTGTGTACAGTGTTCAGTGAAGCTTTTAATACTGTCGACTATTGGAGAATTCTTGATGAATTTAAATAGGAGTTTTGATCAATCTGGCAAAGGTTTGTGGATGGAAAATCAGAATCTCATAAAAGTTCTGAATTTGAAAGAATAATTCCGGGGTCTTGAAATTTTGTCTAAGTTCCAAGATACCGAAAATTCCAATTTTTATTATATTAGGGTTTTGAATCTAAGTTCCGTCCTACTAAGCATAACCCATACTTAACCTCTCTTTTTCGCACGGATATGAACTCAAAAATGAATCACTTCTTCTTATTCTTCTTCTTCTTCTTCTTCTTCTTCTTCTTCGCATTTCAAGCTTATTACATATCGCATATTAGCTTATTGCGTGCTCTCAACTTAGTGTTCTATATGCACTTCCACAGTTATTAATTGAGAGCTTCCGATGCCTGTACCATTTTTGCATTGGTATAATTGTGTGGCAAGTCCAATCATACTTCTATGCTCAGGGAAGTCGAGAAATTTTCCAACCCGAAAAGTTCCTAGATAGGACCGGGAATTGAACCCAGCCACCTCCGGCATGGTCTTGCTTTGTAGCTGCGCCTATGCCGGCTGAGCTAAGGGAGGCCCCAAGTGATTCTACTATATAGGGGAAATGTATGTAATGTCGGCCTAAGTGTCCCTAATTTGGGCCCATACATAAATTCAGCAATCGACAAAAATTTTCAATAGCAACCAAAATATCCATGAGTACCGTCCCAATGACGCGTCCATCTAGATGCAATTGATAAATAGCAGATTTTTAGCGATGGGCCCAATCTTAGATCCCTAGGCCAACATTAGAGCCTTTTCCCGTATGACTTCCAAATTTATTTACCTTTCTATACGTACCGTTGGATTTGATAAAGAGTCGCAAATTATCGTGATATTGTAAGAAATCTAACACTGCTTCTTGATTGCAAATTCGTTGTACGAGTTTCAATTCCGTCCTAACGTATTGAAACGCCATTGGATATTATTGATGATTTCTGCTCGATAGAACGGAAATGGGCGATTATGACAAAGTAGCGCTCTACCCTATCTGTGGACGCTTTTTTTTTTTCAAAGTCTAATATTCTTAATCAAATAAATACGGTAAGTCCGTGATTCTGATTTCTCTTCTTTTGATATATTGGGCTAAGTCAAGTGTTTTGAATATGTTTAATTAGTTAGACAGTTCAAAGAGAGAGTTCAAATCCCATATCTCGGCAAACGTTTTTCGGTCTGGAATATTTTATTTTTTCCGTGTTCAGAATTCTAAATTTTGCTTCCTTCTCAGTTGTATGAGAAATTTCAGGAAACTGCATGTACTCAGCGCTGAGTTCCTGCAGTTTTTAGACATTTATCCATACCTCTGAGTAGAAGTGACTGTCTCTCTGAGTTATTCTCAGTGGCCGTGTTTGTCTCTATAATACCTATTGGAAGTTTTTCTCGCTATATCGTATGCATAGTTCACCCTTTCACTTTTGGATATTGGATTTAACAACTTATTTGTCCTTATAACTCAATACCGTTATTAGTATCATACCTTGTTTTTACGGGCAAGATAGATCCATTAAAAGAAAGAGATCAGACAAATAAACGCGAATTAACGGCGCCGGTAAGCGTGATTACCTCTCACCCCAGCAGGCCTGGGTTCAATCCCAGTCGGCGCCGCCGGGATGTTTTGAGGCATTCTCTGATCACGCCTTCCTTCGGATGGGAAGTAAAGCCGTTGGTCCCCAGTTCATGAGTTGATGGGTCGATAGGTAGGGTCCAGGTGTGGGAGCTGCCTTCCTGGCACGTCGGTAGCATTGGTGCTCAGCACGGAAAACAAAATCGACGGAAAAAACAAACCAAAGGAAAAAAGAAAAAACTGGCTTTTGCATGTATCTGTGCGTAAGCATGCTCCAGGTTGAATAACAATGTGATTTGGAACCCTCGCACAAAACAGAGAAGCGAAAAAAACCCACACGCCGCACTATGGGCAAAAATGGGTCCAAAATTACCCAAAATTCAATATCTCAACAGCACGCTGAATTCCGGCCATTTTCCGATGGGAAATCGTCCGGGGAATCGATTGCACGTGGTCCCATAAACCGGAGAGAGCCTTGTAGGTATGTGTTTTGGACAATTTTACCCCATTTTCCCCTACTTTTTGGAGGAAATGTTTTTTCACAGCTCTATTTGGTTTTAGAATACTATGTATTTAAACAACAGTTTATGAGATATTAGGGGAATACGTGATACCACTTTATAGGGGAGTAAGGGGTAAAAGTGAACCCTCGCTAAATTTATTTTAATTCATAAAAATGTTGTCGCGCATCGTTTGAATGACCCCAAAGGTTGCTTGCAATAATAGGATTTTTTTCGAAATTTTAAGGTTAATTGGGGTTAAATAAGTTTTAATTTACTGCTATCTGTTTTAAAAGAGTTTTCACTTTTTTTTGTCTATATACAGCAAAACGATATAGTGGTTCTCAGAATTTTGTAAAATTGGTAGTTTTGTTCCTTATTGCAACATATTAGACCCATATTTTGTATTTTGTCATTAGGGTAACTAGGGTAACCAACTGATTTTGGACCCCTAGAGGAAGTGAGATCACGTTTATGTCAAAATAATATTATTTGTTTATTATTATTATGCAATTTACATGCGGTTGTGTTCGAAAGCTACTCATCTTGGATGTAAAATGTCACTAGATGTTTTATTGATTGATATATACTCGAAAAATAATTCTTTTCACATCATGATATTCACATATTTTGGACACTTCCACTTGATTTTAGACAGTGTCCATAATATATTTTGGACACACTGAATGGGAACGAATATACTTTGGACATGCTAAAGTTCTTTCAACCTATGAGCCTAAAATTAATTACGACGGTCACTTCCTCCTATCTCGCATTTGTTAGGTCCGTCTAGGTGGGAAAATTTTCAAAGAAGGTGCCGTAAAACGGGGTGAAATTGATCAGCGGGGTGAATTTGATCGCTGAGTATACCCAATATTGTACTTATGCATAATATTTTTACAATGTATACAAAGATACATTCGTACGCTTAGTAACGAAAAACATGTTACACATGAAAAAAAATTACGAGAAATTTCAGCGATCAATTTTGCCCCGCTGATCAATTACACCCCGTTTTACGGTATGCATAAAAGTTAACCCCCCGTTACTCGCGCTGTTGTACTTTGTACAACACATATGAGTTTTCCATTGCCATTTTGTTGCTGCCAATCGATCTGAAACCAACTTGTATTCCTCAAAAAACTTGTTTTGAACTAAAAAAGCTAAACTTTGATTACAATTAACCCCCAAAATGCGGATAATAGAGAAAATGTAAACGGAAACCGCGTAAACGGTGTCCATACTACGTGGGATTGACTTAATTGGTTACAACATGGAATATCTCGAGATCCTGACCAGATAGAAAGTTTCTGTCTTCGGCAAAGTTGTTCAGGAGGTCAAAGCCTATCACTTAGTGTACAATAGTTCAGAATTATCTCACTTCGTGGTGCTAGTATACATGTGAAATTCTCGTGTATAAAATATCTCTAGATCCTGACCAGATAGATAGTAGATGCCTTGAACAAAGTTGTTCAGGAAGTCAAGCTCTTTTCGTTGGTGGAGTTTTCGTTGGCTAGTGGACGATAGTTCAGAATATTTCACTTCATGGTACTAGTATATACGTGCAATTCTCGCATATGATATATCTCAAGACCTGCTAAAAATGTACTGTAATCGGCAAAGTTGTCCAGGAGATCAAACCCTATCGTTGGTGGAAAGTACATAATTTTCTCACTAGGTGACGTTGCAAGACACGTGAAACCCTTGCATATAAAATATCTCTGAATGACCAGCATACTAGTGCCACGTAAAGGGAAAATTCTGAATTACTGTACACCAACGAAAAGATCCTAACATCCTGAACAACTTTGCCGAAGACAGTAACTTTCTGTCTGGTCAGGATCTAGAGATATTTTATATGCGAGAATTCCTCATGTTGCAAAGTGAGAAAACTCTGAACTTAAGTCCACCAGCAAAAAGGCCTTGACTTCCTGAACAACTTTGCCGAAGACAGTAACTTTTTATATGATCAGGATTTCGAGATATTTTATATAAGAATTTCACGTATATACTAGCACCACAGACAAACAGACGTAACTCTTCATTGTGTATCTTCGTTCATGCATTTAACGGTTGATTTGAATATTATCAGTTCCGCGAACTACTCGCCGCAGCGCTGGCATCAGATCACTTTGACGTTTCTATACATTCTATAGAACTTTTATGCAATATTGTTTACGAGTTAGCGAGCAAGCTTGTTTTCCGCGAGAAGCCAGAGAGATGTCGTTACTGAGGTTATATGTTTTGAGATACTATGTTTTCAAGAACAATTTTTTCAAAGAGTTACGTCTGTTTGTCTGTGCTAGCACCATATAGTGAAAAAATTCTGAACTATAGGCTTTGAACTCCTGAACAACTTTTTCGAAGACAGTAACTTTCTATCTGGTCAGGATTTCGAGATATATCACATGCGAGAACTTCACATGTATACTAGCGCTATGTAGCGAGTAAATGTTGAACTACTGTCCACCAGCAAAAAGGTTATGATCTCTAGAACTACTTTGGCAAAGACAGTAACTTTCTATCTGGTCAGGATCTC